CCCCCTAAACCCCCCCAAGTTCCACAGCTGCCCCCCCCCCCGACCTGGATCTGCCCTCTGGAGGCTACACCCTGCCCATGCCAGGAATCCCTCCCTTCCCTGCCACCCCCATTCAGGTTCGTGGTGAGAGGGAGCTGGGAGGACACTACAAAAGGGAAACGGTCTGTGGGCTTTTCAGGCCCAGGATGCAGCCTCGCCTCCGGCCACATTTCCCCATTCCAGACCCACCCAGGATCCGCCCATCACCTCCCCATCCCCTCCCCCAAGCGTTCCTGGTGGCTCCAGCCCTCATCAGTCTCTTCCTGTCTCTCCATTCCTAGGCCAACGCCATGAGCCCTCTGGGTGCCAGGCTACCCACAGAAACACCCTCTGGAGGGCTTCACGAGGAGTGTCAACACCAAGAGGCCAAGGATCAAATTCCTGCCCCACAAGACTGCCCCGTCCATTGATTCATCTAAACCCAGTCTCCCACCAGCCCATGCCTCTGCTGGCCTCACAAAGACCCTGTTAGGAAATTCCGGGCATAATTTTGAGATGAATTAATTTCCAAAGCCTTTTGCAGTTGTCCTTCCATAATCCAGAGGCTCGCTTCCATCTCTGCAGCGTTCTGTCACACAGACACACACACACACACACACCTGCCATGCACCTCACTTGTCCTCCCACTGCCCGCCTGGCCTCCCCTGCACCTCTGGACCCAGCTGTGAACAAACAAGCAGCCCAAGTTCCGCAGCGCTGCTTGGTGTCACTAAACCTGTCCAGACACCGCGGTCCTGCAGCCCTCAAAGCTGGAACTGGCTGGTCCTCTCTGGAGAGGTGGGGGAGACATTCTTTCTGCCTCCATTACTCATTGTCCAACCCCTCAAAACACCTCCTCAAATTCCTAAAGTAAAAAATATTTAAGGCATAATGTGTTTTCATTGTCTTGGAATTCCAATGATTGCAATCATAACAAAAGCCATGTAATATTTTCGCGTGGAATGTAATATCTTAAAAATAAAGTCAAGGGGCTTCCCTGGTGGCGCAGTGGTTGAGAGTCCGCCTGCTGATGCAGGGGACCCGGGTTTGTGCCCCGGTCCGGGAAGATCCCACATGCCGCGGAGTGGCTGGGCCCGTGAGCCATGGCCGCTGAGCCTGCGCGTCCGGAGCCTGTGCTCCGCAACGGGAGAGGCCACAACAGTGAGAGGCCCGCGTACCGCAAAAAAATAAAAAATAAAAAATAAAATAAAGTCAAATGACAAAACACATATATGACAGCCAACAAAACAGGCTTTCCAGAAGAGACAAATCCACAAGGACAGACAAAGCAGCAGAACAGTGGGCAACAGACGTGGATATTATCAGCCAATGCTTATAGAGTACTTACTTAGCATGTGCCTGGCCCCGTTCTAAGCACTTCGCATAGTGTACGTTATTATCTCATTTTAAGAAGAAACTGAAACACAATGAATTTAAGTAAATGGCCCGTGGTCACACAGCTAGTATGTAGAAAAGCCAGGATTTGAACCTTGGCAGTTTGAACTACTAGGTAACTTATTAAAAAAGAAAAGAAACAAACAAAATCAAATAGTAAATATGAAAAAAAATGTTCAACTTCATTCAAATTAAAGAAATGCCACAGAATAGCAATAAAAAGCCATTTGCACCTGTCAGATTATCAAAGACTAGTTTGCTAACAGTGTTGGAAAGTGTGTGGGTAACAGAAAGTTCTGTCCTTTGTGCGCGGGGTCATCTATTGGCGCATCTTCTTTAGAGGGCAAGTTGGCAATAGCTATCAAAATTAAAGACATTTGTCTTTACCTCAATAAACAAAACAAATAAAATGAATACACTTGTCCTTGATCAAGTACATTCACTGCCAGGAACTTATCCTACAGATGTTCTCACCAAAAGTGCACACATACATGTGGTCTCTACCTCCATTATTTTATACTAGCGAAAACCAGGAAACAACGTAAATGCCCATCAGCGGGATGTGATTCAGTGCATTGGGCTACATACATTCAGAGGAATGCTATCTATTGAAAAGAAGAAAAGCCTTTATATACTGATTGAAACTTTACCTTTATATATTGATTGTACAAATCACTGTAATTTTTTAAAAGTCCCAGGAGGCTCATGCTATACCACGTCCACCCCCTCCCCTGTGGCTGGTCCCTGCGGGCCCCACAGTCACCTCCTAATACCCTGGCCACTCCCTCACACTCACCGGGGGCTCTGGCACCTGGTCCTGTGTGCTGCTCTTCACCCTGGCACCCTCATCTCCAGGCACGTGACCCACTCAGCATCTTAGCCTGATCATTTCCTAGCTCCTCAGTTCCGGTGACTTTCACGTTCATCCTTTTTCTCTTGTCTCTGCCCTTGTCCCCTCTCTAGACCCTAAACTGGTCCGTCTCTGAAGTTTCAAACTCTGATCTCACACCACGGTACCATTCATAACTCTCTCACTTTCAGCAGATGGGTTCTTCAGCCACACCGGCACGTCCAGTCCTGAACCCAATCATTCCATTTTCTAACCCCCCTACCCTCCTTCACACTTTCTTTCCAGCTTGGACTCCTTGTACCCCTCCTTCTCTGGCCCCTACTCTTCAGTCTCCCACACCTGGATAGACCCCCAGCCCTGTTTAGCCTAAACGCTGACTTTCTCTGCTCTAAACTACAATGCCCCATGAAGAAAACCATATCCTCAAGACCCGGTGTCACCACCGACTCACAGTCGCCAGACTCACCTGCATCCTCTTTGCTACTAAGGGCTTCTCTCTGCCTTTGGTCAGAAATTTCTCCCAGTCCCCCTGGTTGCTGCTGCAAAGTTTCTTTACTCTCTTCCTATCGCCCACCCTGTACCCTACACCCTCGCTCTCAGCAAGAGCTCATAGCCTTCACTGAGAAAATCAAAGCCCTCTGGTTAAAAACTCTCTTACCATATATACGGGAATAAAGACACAGACCTACTAGAGAACGGACTTGAGGATGTGGGGAGGGGGAAGGGTGAGCTGTGACAAAGCGAGAGAGAGAGGCATGGACGTATACACACTACCAAACATAAGGTAGATAGCTAGTGGGAAGCAGCCGCATAGCACAGGGAGATCAGCTCGGTGCTTTGTGTCCACCTAGAGGGGTGGGATAGGAAGGGTGGGAGGGAGACGCAAGAGGGAGGAGATATGGGGACATGTGTATATGTATAACTGACTCACTTTGTTATAAAGCAGAAA